TCAAGAAATTGCTAATGGAGTCATAGGGTATTCACAGTGGGATAGTGATAGAGAAAGAGTAGAAAAAAGTAAGTTTCATTTAAGGAGTTTGTCATTCATCAGATAGGTAATATCTGCTGTAGTTACTTGACAGGAAGAATGAAGCCATCATGGTTTATCAAGATAAATCATAATTTCTTAGGTAAAATATAAGAGACTGGAGAAAAAGAATCTAGATAGAATACTATTTTAAGAGTTGAGTCAAGAGGATATTAACAAGGAGACAGATGTGAAGAGTAATAGAAGAGGTAGAATCTATGGGACTTAAAAACTTGCCAAGTATTTTTTGTGGATAGAACGGGGGAGACATTAATTAAATAATACAATTTGGGCTGTTACAATTGAAAGAGCAGAGGTGGCCATGAAGGAAAAAGAGAAAAAAAAAGATAAGTGGTTTTAAGAAGATGATATTTTATATATTAGATACATTTAATTTGAGGTGAGAATGGGGCACCTATGTGCTTTTATCTATTAAAACACTGGAGATTATTTTGGGTTTAGGGTGAAGATCTAGGCAGGTTTGAGATACCTCATTATGTAATATTTACAGAAAAATGATCATTGAAACTCTCACAGTGGGTAGAATGACCCAAAAATCAAGTGTATTGGAAACAAAAAATTTCAAAAGTACTATACACTTAGAAATCTAGAAAACAAACCAAAAATCAACAGAAAAGAAAATCAAAAGCCATATTTCACCCATTAACACATATAAGCAGAATTCAAAAAGCAGGAAAATAATTCTATTTCCCTCTTTTTAATGCTTAAGTGCTATTACATATTATCTCACTTAATCTCAACAACATTCCTCTGAAGTGGGGCTATCATCCCTTCATAGAGGAGAAACTTGGAGCTCTGATGGGCTAAAAAACTCCTCTCTGGTCACAGAGCCTGTGGATGGCTGAAGTCAAGATTCACACCAAGCAGTCTTTATCTAGATTTTGTACTTTTAGTTTTGATGTTTCACTATTTCTTGGTTATGGACAATAACTTATTTTAATAAAAATATTTTATTTTGCAAATATTTGTAGTTGAAGACTTATGTCCTTGTTCATAAGTCCTTATTTTACTCTTGTTATCCTTTTAAGCAGAAGTGACCGAGAGAGAGAAGGATTAAAAGTGAAATAAGAGAGATTTCCAAAAGGGGTGTAATCTCTTTAGGGTGATATAACATCACAATATAAATATAGATATTTATATGCTATTAATACCATGTTCCAAGAGTGACTCTTGTACAACTGATATAATTTGAATTTGTTCGACTTCTAAACAGTGCATGCAATAAATTTCTTTGTTTTAAATTATTCGTGTGATATAATATGTCCAAAAAAGTGTGGACCCTCCTAAGAGGTAATTGGTTTTATGATAGCAAACGAACTTTTTATCTTTTTATCTTGGTATGAAGACTTTTGCCATACTCTAAGAAATTATTAATGAAGAGAATAGGATGTCTAGGTATTGAGATAAAAATTGAGAAAATCATGATGCTCTCTGCTATACATAGTGATTCAAGTAAGAATTTTAGGACATCAGTAAGAGGATACCAGGAGCTTCCTGGGAAGGTAAAGCGCTAAGAGGAAGAGAATCAAGAGACAGCAGAACTATAGTCCCAAAGGAATAGTTGGAGTTTTCTCTAAGGAAGTAATGTGTACCCCATATTATAAACCCCTTGTTCCATCATGAGGTTGGAAGATATGGTAACTTTTAAATAGCTCATTTATGCTTTGATAATAGTAAAGTTTAGTTTTGGTCAGACCTAAAGAAAAGGACTGTGGAATTATTGCATATGAGTCATCAACCTAAGAAGCAGGTTGATGCTTTTAACAAAAGGCAGAATGGCATGGAAGCTGAGTGTGGACTCTGGAGCCAGACAGCTTAGGTTTGAATCTTGCCTGTGCACTCCCACTAGCTATGTAATAGCTAGATAAAGTTTGGGTGCCCCGTAGGTTTTTTGTAAGGATTACATTGGATTATCCGCGTAAGGGGTTTAGAATAGTGCCTACGGTGCGGAAAGTATTCAGTGGTTTTTCACTTCCCAGGATGAACTTTGAATAAATACTTAAAGAATATTTGCTTGAAGTGGTGTTCACTTATTCACCTTCCTGTGGTAGGTCATTGGGTTAATTCTTCATTCTGATGAACTCTGAATTATTCTTACTTTGTACACTGTATTTAGATGCTCCAATATTTTCAGCATGAAAATATATTATCTTGAAGTGTTAACCTCTGTTACACATCCTCTCTAGTTTTTTTTTGTTTTTTTTTATAATTTTATTTTTTATAAAAAAATAAAAAAAAAAATATATATATATATATATATATATATATATATATATATATATATTTCCCCCCCCCCCAGGGGTACAGGTCTGTGAATCTCCACGTTTACAAACTTCACAGCACTCACCATAGCACATACCCTACCCAATGTCCATAACCCCCCCTCTCCCAACCCCCCTCTGCCCAGCAACCCTCAGTTTGTTTTGTGAGATTAAGAGTCACTTATGGTTTGTCTCCCTCCCAATCCCATCTTGTTTCATTTACTCTTCTCCTACCACATTAACCCCCCATGTTGCATCTCCTCTCCCTCATATCAGGGAGATCATATGATAGTTGTCTTTCTCTGATTGACTTATTTCGCTAAGCATGATACCCTCTAGTTCCATCCACGTTGTCGCAAATGGCAAGATTTCATTTCTTTTGATGGCTGCATAGTATTCCATTGTATATATATACCACATCTTCTTTATCCATTCGTCTGTTGATGGACATCTAGGTTCTTTCCATAGTTTGGCTATTGTAGACATTGCTGCTATAAACATTCGGGTGCACGTGCCCCTTTGGATCACTACGTTTGTATCTTTAGGGTAAATACCCAGTAGTGCAATTGCTGGGTCATAGGGTAGTTCTATTTTCAACATTTTGAGGAACCTCCATGCTGTTTTCCAGAGTGGTTGCACCAGCTTGCATTCCCACAAACAGTGTAGGAGGGTTCCCCTTTCTCCGCATCCTCGCCAGCATCTGTCATTTCCTGACTTGTTAATTTTAGCCATTCTGACTGGTGTGAGGTGGTATCTCATTGTGGTTTTGATTTGTATTTCCCTGATGCCGAGTGATATGGAGCACTTTTTCATGTGTCTGTTGGCCATCTGGATGTCTTCTTTGCAGAAATGTCTGTTCATGTCTTCTGCCCATTTCTTGATTGGATGATTTGTTCTTTGGGTGTTGAGTTTGCTAAGTTCTTTATAGATTCTGGACACTAGCCCTTTATCTGATATGTCGTTTGCAAATATCTTCTCCCATTTTGTCAGTTGTCTTTTGGTTTTGTGAACTGTTTCCTTTGCTGTGCAAAAGCTTTTGATCTTGATAAAATCCCAATAGTTCATTTTTGCCCTTGCTTCCCTTGCCTTTGGCGATGTTCCTAGGAAGATGTTGCTGCGGCTGAGGTCAAAGAGGTTGCTGCCTGTGTTCTCCTCAAGGATGTTGATGGATTCCTTTCTCACATTGAGGTCCTTCATCCATTTTGAGTCTATTTTCGTGTGTGGTGTAAGGAAATGATCCAATTTCATTTTTCTGCATGTGGCTGTCCAATTTTCCCAACACCATTTATTGAAGAGGCTGTCTTTTTTCCATTGGACATTCTTTCCTGCTTTGTCGAAGATTAGTTGACCATAGAGTTGAGGGTCTAGTTCTGGGCTCTCTATTCTGTTCCATTGATCTATGTGTCTGTTTTTGTGCCAGTACCATGCTGTCTTGATGCTGACAGCTTTGTAATAGAGCTTGAAGTCCGGAATTGTGATGCCACCAACTCTGGCTTTCTTTTTCAATATTCCTTTGGCTATTCGTGGTCTTTTCTGGTTCCATATAAATTTTAGGATTATTTGTTCCATTTCTTTGAAAAAAATGGATGGTACTTTGATAGGAATTGCATTAAATGTGTAGATTGCTTTAGGTAGCATAGACATTTTCACAATATTTATTCTTCCAATCCAGGAGCATGGAACATTTTTCCATTTCTTTGTGTCTTCCTCCATTTCTTTCATGAGTACTTTATAGTTTTCTGTGTATAGATTCTTAGTCTCTTTGGTTAGGTTTATTCCTAGGTATCTTATAGTTTTGGGTGCAATTGTAAATGGGATGGACTCCTTAATTTCTCTTTCTTCTGTCTTGTTGTTGGTGTAGAGAAATGCGACTGATTTCTGTGCATTGATTTTATATCCTGACACATTACTGAATTCCTGTACAAGTTCTAGCAGTTTTGGAGTGCAGTCTTTTGGGTTTTCCACATATAGTATCATATCATCTGCGAAGAGTGATAGTTTGACTTCTTCTTTGCCGATTTGGATGCCTTTAATTTCTTTTTGTTGTCTGATTGCTGAGGCTAGGACTTCTAGTACTATGTTGAATAGCAGTGGTGATAACGGACATCCCTGCCGTATTCCTGACCTTAGCGGAAAAGCTTTCAGTTTTTCTCCATTGAGAATGATATTTGCGATGGGTTTTTCATAGATGGCTTTGATAATATTGAGGTATGTGCCCTCTATCCCTACACTTTGAAGAGTTTTGATCAGGAAGGGATGCTGTACTTTGTCAAATGCTTTTTCAGCATCTATGGAGAGTATCATATGGTTCCTGTTCTTTCTTTTATTAATGTGTTGTATCACATTGATTGATTTGCGGATGTTGAACCAACCTTGCAGTCCTGGAATAAATCCCACTTGGTCGTGGTGAATAATCCTTTTAATGTACTATTGAATCCTATTGGCTAGTATTTTGGTGAGAATTTTTGCATCTGTGTTCATCAAGGATATTGGTCTGTACTTCTCTTTTTTGATGGGATCCTTGTCTGGTTTGGGGATCAAGGTGATGCTGGCCTCATTTATGCATACAAAATTGCAAAATAACTGATGTTTTCCATAAAGATTCCAGATATAATATTTACTGATGAGATAAATCAAAGATATGTTTAATGACTTTTGTTCTGTATTAAGGTCACCTTATTGAGCGATACATCATGAAATCGATAGTTGTACATCTAGGAAATTTACCAATGGAGCTCTCTTCCACTGGTGTGTATATTTTAATTTGTCTCATGTGGGTGTCTCTTCCATTTTGATGATTGGCTAGAACTGCAATCTGTATCATGAATGTGCGAGTTGGCTTCTTATGATTATCAGTTAAGGGTACATGAATCCAGCCACTTGGTTCCACCAATTCAAGTTGCCGATTTTCTTGAAGATTGTGAAAATTATTTCCTACTCTGACTGAGATCTTGCTTGGAGTATAGCTTTCATCAGATTTGTAGTCTGCATAAATACATAATGTCTTCACTATTGTTTTTCTTCTGAATTGGATGTTTACTAAATGAGGCTGGGAGCCATCTGATTGCCAGTAAGTCTCAAGATTGTCATCTCGTAACTGATCCACTCCAAATCCTGGTTTGCAAGATGAGAGTGACCAAACAGCTTGTGACCCAATTTCCCGCACTGTTACAGTCCTTTCCAACTGCTTAGGGTCAGCACCAGGAGGTGTCTTGTTTGGTGTGGTCATTTTTTAGATATTAGCTTACAGACCCGGCTTGCAGCAACCCAGCTTTTTAGGATGCCCTGCAGCTCCGTGCCACTCCCACTCAGGACAGCCTGGCTTTCCCAACGACGTTAAGTTGGAGTCCCATCCTTTCTAGTTTTAATGCTATCTTTTTCCTTGTTACAATTCTCTCTTATTTAGATTTACAAAAGTTTGTCTATTTTATTGATTTTTTCAAAGAACCAATTTTGGTTATATCCGTGAAACTTATTTCTTTATTATTTTCTGCTCTATTACTTTTTCTTTTAAAATACAAGCTAATGTTTTTTTAAGATTTATTTCTTTTTTCAGAAATAGAGAGAGAGTGGAGGAGGGCTTAGAGGGAGAGGGGGACCAGCAGACTCCCCACTGAGTGGAGAACCCAGACTCAGGGTTTGATCCCAGGACTCCAAGACCATGACCCCACTCAAAATTCACAGTCAGATGCTCAACCGACTGAGAAACCCAGGTACCTTGATTACTTTTTGTTTTTGTGTCTATTTCTAAAAATTGCTTTTGCTTCTTGTTATTCTTCTACGTTTTGGAAGTGTAGGTGGATTCCTTTATTTTCAGTCCATTTTAATTTTAAATTAATAGACTTATGTCTTAATATATTACAAGCAATAGTTTGGTGATATCATATGGGGTTTTTTAAAAATGTATAGGTATTAGTACATACACTTGAAATACTTAATAATTTCAGTTTTTGTTTCATTGTTACTCAATAATTATTTAGTTATTCCTTAAAAAACAATATAGTCAATATGAGTGGATTGGGGAGGAGAGAAATGGTATCCTTCTTTACTATTGTCTAATTTTCTTCAATAGTCATCTGATGTATAGCCTATAAAATATGCTTTTAAAAATTATTGGGGTTTCTTTTGTACTTAAAGTTTCATTTCTAGGATAATTTCATATATTTCGAATAAATGCATTTTCTTTTGGTACATTCAAAATGTTCAATGGATATATTATATTGACACCTTAATATCTATACTTAGCTTTATTTTAGTATTTTGTTATTTGATATGCCAGTTGCAGAGGGAAAATTATCATTATATATTTCACTGTTTATGTTCCACATTTGTCATTTTGCCCTTTCTTTTCTTTTTTACATTTCAGAATATATATTGATGAACTATAAATTTCAGCAAAATAAAAAAGCATATTCCATCCAATTTTGGCTTGAATCCTATTCTGCCTGATATTACTAATGCTAAATTGCTTTCAATTCGTAAACATTCCTTGACATACATATATATTTTCTTAAGTCAATTATATTAAATGTTGAGATATTGTGTGTAATACTGCTATTTAATTTCTCATATATAGATTTTTATTAACTCATCATAGATTTCTTTTTAACAATGTTGGATAATTTACACCTCTTAATAAAGGTATTAAATTAACCTCATTTGTTAAGATCACTCATAAATTTGGGTTTGTTAATACGCTATACTATCATTTCTTTACATTTTCTTGATCTTTTACCCTTTACCAAAACCTGAAGGTTTTTAGTTTTTATCATTTTCTTTCTTCCCTTTTTCTCCCTAATGGCTTAGGGGTTATATATCCCATTTAGAGTCTTCTAGTCATTTGCTGTTAATCTTCTTTTGAGACTTTCCATCTATATCCTGTCTCAATCATCACTCATCTTAAGATCAGGGGAGATAGGACAGAATTATAATAATGTTTAAGCAAAGTATTGTATGGAATATTATCCTTGAGTGTTTTTTCACCTGAAATATCTTTATTTTGTTGTTTTTGTTGTTGTTACACATAATGAGAATTTAGGTGATTTATAAAACATAGTTTAACATTATTACTTCTTACAAATTTGTTATATGGTTTTTGAGAACCCTGATTTTTTTAAAGTTTTATTCACTCTACAACATTTTAGGATCTTCTCTTTATCTATTTGATGTTGAAATGTTAAGATTTGTGTGTAGCTTTTTGCCTTTTCTATTATCCGGCACAGTATTTAATGCATCCTTCAATCTGAAGACATGTTGTCAGTTCTCAATTCTTTTCTTCTATTACTTCCTTGATTACTTCTACTTTTATCCACTTTTGGAAACTTTTATTTATTTTTATTTTATTTATTTATTTTAGAGAGAGAGAGTGGGCAGGGGGAGGGGCAAAGGGAGAGAGAGATTTTTTTTTTTAAAGATTTTATTTATTTATTTGACAGAGAGACAGTGAGAGAGGGAATACAAGCAGGGGAAGCGGGAGAGGGAGAAGCAGGCTTCCGGCCAAGCAGGGAGCCCAATGTGGGGCTGGATCCCAGGATGCTGGAATCATGACCTGAGCCAAAGGCAGATGCTTAATGACTGAGCCACCCAGGTTCCCCAGGAGGGAGAGAAAGTTAAGCGGACTTCCTGCCCAATGTGTAGCTTGTAGCTCAACTTGGGGCTTGCTCTCACACCCCTCAGATCATTTGAGCTGAAATCAAGAGTTGGGTACTTAACAGACTGAGCCACCCAGACACCCCTAAAATATTTTTGAAAATACAATTAAAAAATAAGAAGTTCCTCAGCATGCCTGGGTAATTGCTGGATTGTATAGCAATAATTCTTTTTAAAAAGATTTATTTATTTATTTTAGAGGGCGAGAGAGAAAGAGAGAGAGAGAGAGCGTGTGTGAGCAGGAAGACAGTCAGAGATACTTTAAAAAGCAGACTGTCCCTGAGGACGTAGCCCAGTGTGGGGCCCAACACCCAGCTCGATCCCATGACCCTGAAATCTTGATTTGAGCTAAAATCAAGAGTCAGATGCTTAACCCACTGAGCCACCCAGGGGATCCTAAATAGAAAGAGTTCTCATGGAACTTTTATGAGGTAAATTAGAGTAAGTGGTCTCTCATGCTGTCCTTCTATTCATCTTTCAGAATCATTCTGAACTGATGCAGAATTCAGATACACCATCATGCATGACTTTTAAGAACACACGCTCTGGGAGCAGATTAATTAGGATCAGATAGCAGTTAGTTCTCTTATTTCTTGGCTGTATAACCTGGGGGGTTATCATTTAGTTTTTTTTTTTAATATTTTATTTATTTATTTGACAGAGAGAGATCACAAGTAGATGGGAGAGGCCGGCAGAGAGAGAGAGAGAGAGAGGAGGAAGCAGGCTCCCCGCCGAGCAGAGAGCCCGATGTGGGACTCGATCCCAGGACCCTGAGATCATGACCTGAGCCGAAGGCAGCGGCCTAACCCACTGAGCCACCCTATCATTTAGTTTTTTAAGCAGAAAATTCCTCACCAGCTAAAATAAAGTTGAACTACCAATATTTATTACTAATTATTTTGGAGATTAAATCAGATAATGTATAAAGATATGGAATAGTGCCTGTTACATACTTTTTTTGTTGTTTTGTGGTTTTTTTTTGTTGTTGTTGTTAACCATTATTGTTGTTGGCTGGTTTTTCTAAAATTTTGGAGATTCTTAATAGGGACCAATAGTCTCTAATGTAGAATTGTGGATTACCTTTTTTTGGGAATTAGTAGTTACTTAAAATATGGTCCTACATCTTTCTCTCCAAGCACTAGGTCCACTGCTATAGTTTCACTTAAGTATCATTATCACTAATGTTTAGGTCAATCTGGGAATGAAGGAGAGCCTGCCCCACCTAGCTACATCGATGACTCTTCCTGATTTGTCACCTCCTAAAACCAATGACAATGCTGATTGACTTAAGTTCTGATCTGTCCCCAATGTTTCCACCTCTGTCATATTTCAGCCTGCATGTGTTTAGGGTTCAAATATCCTCCAGTTTTATTTCTCTCTGTGTTTGTACCCACATATATTCTAACCGTTGGGATTCTTCAGTATTTGTGGAGCACTGAAAATGCACTTATTTTTCAAGCAGATGAATTCTTCTTTAATATCTATTTTCTGTTATTTGTGAGTTTTGGAGTAGAAGGTATAGAAGGAGGAGTAGAAGGCATAGAAGTAGAAGGAGTAGAAGGAAGACTTTGGTCCTCTCAAACCAATCTCAACAGATTTTGGAAAGTGTCCTTAAAATAAGTTTTTCAGCTTATGTTTTATGGTCTACCCATTCTCCTTGCCTGGGTTTTTTTTTTTATCTCTTGCAACTAAATGACTCTTGGATATGGGGACTTTCCAGCTCCCAGTTCACTCATAGGCATCAGTGTTCCAGCAGCATTCCCAGGAAGCTGGTTTGTATTCTTGAAAACCCATACAGACCTTTTCATTCTTTGGTTTCAAGAAATCAATTACTTGGGGCGCCTGGGTGGCTCAGTTGGTTAAGCTTCTGCCTTCGGCTCAGACCATGATCTAAGGGTCCTGGGATCGAGCCCCACATCAGGCTCTCTGCTCGGCAGGGAGCCTGCTTCCCCCTCTCTCTGCCTGCTTCTCTGCCTACTCATGATCTCTCTCTCTCTCTCTGTGTCAAATAAATAAATAAAATCTTAAAAAAAAAATAAGAAATCAATTACTTGTCCAAACCATTCTTCTGTCCTTCAACCCTTGCTGTTCTTTTTCATAGACATTAATATAGCTGCTTGAAATGTATTTACATTAGCCACAGCCTGACAGGCATTGGGCCATGTTTCTTACAATTCTACATTGTAGCATAATATTTTCTCTCTTATGGTAATCTTAGAAAATAATACAAATAGCTCTTCCATGTTGAAAAACATATATCAATTATTTTCAAAATAATCATCTGCAATTTACTCTTAATAAAAAATTATATTCAACTTGGCTCATAATTTTGAAAAGTAAAATTAAAGGATTAGTAAGTATTATTTAGAGGTCTTTTCTGCCAAGTATTTTAAAATATTCTTTAATCTTCAAAATAATTCTATGAAGCAAGTGCACGCTCATTTTACCAACTAAATAATTGAGTTTCAAGTATAAGTAGCTTGTCAAAACACCAACGAAGGGTCGCCTGGGTGGCTCAGTGGGTTAAAGCCGCTGCCTTCAGCTCAGGTCATGACCTCAGGGTCCTGGGATGGAGCCCTGCATCAGACTCTCTGCTCAGGAGGGAGCCTGCTTCCCTCTCTCTCTCTGCCTGCCTCTCTGCCTGCTTGTGATCTCTCTCTGTGTCAAATAAATAAATAAAATCTTA